TATATATTAGAAAAGAAAAGATATCTATAATTAATAATTAATAATAACCTTAGGAAACTAGAAAAAGAAGAGCAAATTAAATCCAAAGTCAGCAGAAGACAAAAAAGTAAAAATTAGAGCAGAAACCAATGAAATTAAAAACAGGAAATCAATAGGGAAAATCAACAAACGCTAGCTCTTTGAAAAGAACAGTAAAATCAATAAACCTCCAAGCAAGCTAAGTAAGTAAAAAAAGAGGACACAAATTACTAATATCAGAAGTGAAAGAGGAAAAATCACTACAGATTCCATGGACACAAAAGATTATAAAGGAATACTATGAACAACTTTATGCCCACAAACTTGATAAGCTAGATGAAATAGACCAATTCCTTGATAGACACAATGTGCTAACACTCACACGAGAAGAAATAGACTCTCTGAATAGGCCTATATCTATTAAAGAAAGTGAATTAATAACCTTCCAAAACAAAAGCACCAGGCCTGGACTAGTTCACTGGTGATTTCTACCAAACATTTAAGGAAGCAATTATATCAATTCTCTATGATCATTTACAGATGATAGAAGCAAAGGGAATACTTCCTAACACATTCTATGAGGCCAGCATACCCTAATACCGAAACCAGACAAAGAAATTGCAGGGAAATAAAACGACATACCAATATGTCTCATGAACATAAAGGCAAAAATCCTCAATGCAACATTAGCAAATAGAATCCAACAAGGTATAAAAAGTATTATATACCACCACCAAGTTGGATTTGTCCTAGGAATGAAAGGCTGGTATAATATTCAAAAATCAATTAATGTGATCAGTCACACTGACAGGCTAAAAGAGAAAACATGATCATATCAAGAGATGCAGAAAAAGCATTTGACAAAATCCAATATCCATTCATAATAAAAACTCTCAGTAAACTAGGAATAGGGGGAACTTACTCAGCTTGGTAAAGAATATCTATAAAACTCCTACAGCTAACATCTTACTTAATGGTAAGAAACTAGAAGCTTTCTTACAAAGATCAGGAACAAGGAAAGGATGTCCCCTTTCACCACTCCTTTTGAACATTATACCGGAAGTCCTACCTACTGCAAAAAGATGAGGAAAGAAAATGAAAGTCATACAGAATGAGAAAGAAGAAATAAAACGGTCTTGGATCACAGATGACATGACTGTCCATGTAGGAAATCCAGAAGATTCAACAACAACAACAAAAAAAAACCTCTCCTGGAACAAAGATTTCAGGATACAAGGTTAATATACAAAAGACATTTTCTTTCCTATATGACAGCAATGAACAAGTGGAATTTGAAACTAAAAACACAACGCCATTTGCATTAGCACACAAAAAGTGAAACACTTAAGTATAACAAAATATGTATAAAATATATACAAGGAAAACTACAAAACTCTGATGAAAGAAATCAATGAAGAACTAAATAAATGAAAAGATATTCCATGTTAATGGATAGGAAGACTGAATATTGTCAAGATATCAATTCTTCCCAACTCGATCTGTAGATTCAATGCAGTCCCAATCAAAATAGCATCAAGTTATTTTTTGGATATTGACAAATTGATTCTAAAGTTTATATGGAGAGGCAAAAGACACAAAATAGCCAACACAATATTGAAGGTGAAAGACAAAGTGGGAGGACTGATATTACCAAACTTCCAGCCTTTCTATAAAGCTACAGTAATCAAGACAGCGTGGCGTTTACAAAAAAAATAGACAAATAGATTAATGGGACAAAATAGAGAACCCAGAAATAGGCCAATGTAAATATCATCAGACTGATCCTTGACAAAGGAGCAAAGGCAATACAATGGGGGCAAAGATAATCTTTTCAACTAATGGTGCTCGAACAACTGGACTTCCACATGCAAAAAAAAGTGGATCTAGACACAGACCACAAACTCTTCACAAAAATTGACTCCAAATGGATCACAGATTTCAATGTAAAATGCAAAACTATAAAACTTCTAGAAGATAACATGGGAGAAAACCTAGATGACCTTGGGTATGGTGATGACTTTTTAGAAACAATACCAAAGGCACAATCCATGAAAGAAGAATTGATAATCTGGACTTCATTAAAATTAAAAACTTCTACACTGCAAAAGACAATATCAAGAGAAAGAGAAGATAAGCCATAGATTGGGAGAAACTGTTTTCAAAAGACACATATGATAAAGGATTGTTATCCAAAATATACAAAAAACACTTAAAACTCAACAATAAAAACAATCCAATTAAAAAATGGGTCAAAGACCTTAACAGACACCTCACCAAAGAAGATATACAGATGGCAAATAAGCATATGAAAAGATGCTCAACATCATATGTCATCAGGGAATTGCAAATTAAAACAATGAGATAGTACTACACACCTATTAGAATGGCCAAAATCTGGAACACTGACAACACCAAATGCTGACAAGGATATTGAACAATAGGAACTCTCATTTGTTGCCGTTGGGAATGCAAAATGGTACAGCCACATTGGAAGACAGTTTGATGGCTTGTTACAAAACTAAGCACACTCTTACCTTATGATTCAACAATCATGCTCCTTTCTATTTATCAAATGGAATTGAAAACTTAGATCCAAAATAACGTGCACACTGATATCTATCACAGCTTTATTCATAATTGCCCAAACTTGGAAGTAACCAAGATGTTCTTCAGTAGGTGAATGGATAAATAAACTGTGGTACAGCCAGATGATGGAATATTACTGAGTTCTAAAACTAAATGAGCCAGCCCTGGTGGTCTAGTGGTTAAGATTTGGCAATCTCACTACTATGGCCCAAGTTTTCCCTGGTCAGGGGACCACACCACCCAACTGTAAATTGCCATACCATGGCAGCTGCATGTTGTTGTGATACTGAAAGTTATGCCACTGGTATTTCAAATACCAGCAGGGTCACCCATGGTAGACAGGTTTCAGCGTAGCTTCCAGACTAAAACTGACTAGGAAGAAGGAACTGGCCACCTACTTCCGAAAAAATTGGCCATGAAAATCCTATGAATAGGAGCAGAGCGTTGTCATATATAGTGCCAGAAGGTGAGAGGGTGGTGCAAAAATATCAGGCAGGCTTCAGGGGGTTGGGGTGCATGCACGGGGCAGGACTGTGTGGACTGTGTGTGTGGCCCTGTGGGTGGTGGGGCTCGTCACCTGCAAAAGGCTTGTGCTTCTCAAATACCCACATAGCACATTGGCCCCACCTTCCAAACCCTGAAACAACTGGGTGCTCCCATGTCTGGGTCCAGCCCCACAAAGCTGCAATCCTCAGAGAGCTGACAAGAGCCTTATAGGCCAGAGGCCTGTAGCAATTGTTAGCCCCTGAGCATAACAACCAGCCACTATGGGGGCCTATTCACTTAATAGAAAAACTGCAACAAGAACGTGCTATTAGACCTTGCAGACAACTGTGCTGGGGCTCCCCACACCCGATAAAGAGATTGAAGGGTCTGCAACAACCACTTGCAGCTGAGCATTACAACCAGCTGGCCAGGGGGACAGCTCAGCCTCACTGGGCACCTATGGGAAGAGCAACCATGCCACAACAGAAGGACACATGTAGCCCACACAGGGGTCACTCCTGGAACATTTGGAACTGGTGATGAGAAGGAAGCACACTGCTTGGCCTCATAAAGCATCACTTACATAAGGTAACCTCTCCAAGACCAGGAGACATAGGTGACCTACCTAATACATAGATACAAGCACAGAGAAAGAGTCAAAATGAGGAGACAAAGAAATGTGTTCCAAGCAATGAAACAGGACAAAACCCGAGAAAAAGAACTAAAGGAAGCAGAAATGAACAATCTACCCAACAGAGAGTTCAAACAAAGAGTCATAAGGACGCTCACTAATCTTGGGAGAAGAATGGATGAACTCAGTGAGAACATCAATAAAGAAATGGAAGATATAAAAAAGAACCAATCAGAAATGATGAATACAATACTGGAAATGAAAACTTCACTAGAGGGACTAAAAAGCAGAGTAGAGGATACAGAGGAACAGATGAGCGAGCTGGATGAAAGACTAGAGGAAATCACCCACGCTGAACAGATAAAAGAAAAAAGAATTAAAAAGCGTGAGGACAGTCTAAGGGACCTCTGGGACAACATCAAGTGAACTAACATCCATGTTATAGGTGTCCCAGAAGGAGAAGAGAGAGACAAATGGGCAGAGAATCTATTTGAATACATAATAGCTGAAAACTTCCCTAACCTAAGGAAGAAAACAGACATCCAGGTACAGGAAGCATAGAGAACATCAAACAAGATAAATCCAAAGAGGCCCACAACAAGAGATGTCATAATTAAAATGTCCAGAAATGAGATAAAGAGAGAATCCTAAAAGCCACAAGAGAAAGGCAATAAGTTACATACAAAGAAAACATGATAAGGTTATCAGCTGACTTCTCAACAGGAACCTTACAGGCTAGACGGAAGGGGCATGATATATTTAAAGTGCTGAAAGGAAAAATCCCACAGCCAAGAATATTCTACCTGGCAAGGTTAGCATTCAGAATGTAAGGAGAGATAAAGAGTTTTTAGACAAGCAAAAATTAAAGGAATTTATCACCAAGAAACCAGTTCTCCAAGAAGTGCTAAATGCAATTATTTAAGGGAGAAAGAGAAGACCACAAATAGGAAAAAATATCTATTTCAACGATGAGAGGGTAACGGATACAAACACACTAAAAACAAAAAGGTTAGATATGATATCAAAAACATAAATTGTGGGAGGAGAGAAGTAACAGAGTAGAGCTTTTAGAAAGAGGTAAAACTAAAGAGACCACCAACTTAATATAGATTGCTAGATACATATGTTATTATATATGAACTTCATGGTAACCATAAACCAGAAACCTATAATAAATACACAAAAACTAAGAGAAAGGAACCCAAATATAATACTAAAGAAAGCCATAATCCACAAAGGAAGAGAACAAGAGAAGAAGAAACAGAGAAGAATTACTAAAACACACAGAAAAAAGTAACAAAAGGGCAGTAAGTACATACTTATCAATAGCTATATTAAATGTCAATGGACTAAATGCTCCAAGAAAAGGCATAGGGTGGCTGATTCGATAAAAATAACAAGACCCATATATATGTTGCATACAAGACACACATTCCAGACCTAAAGACAAGCACAAACTGAAAGTGAAGGGACAGAAAAAGATACTCCATGCAAATGGCAATGAAAAGACAGCTGGGACAGCAATACTCATATCAGACAAAATAGACTTTAAAACAAATACTGTGACAAGAGACAAAGAAAGGCACTACATAATGATCAAGGGAACAATCTAGGATAGAGAGAAGTCAAGATGGTGGCGTAAGCAGACTCTGAACTCACCTTCTCCATGGACACAGCCAATTTACAACTACTCATGGAAAAATTACCCCTGAGAGAGAACTGGACTGGATAAGAGGAACTCCTGCAACAAAAGACAATCCTAATTAAGGTGGAAGAGGCAGAAACTCCCTTCTAGAGAGAAAAAAACGCTGCCTTCACGAGCCACAGCGCTGGACAGCTGCCAGAGAGCAGCCCACAGGTATGCAGCCCTCCCTGGAGAGGTGGGGCCCTGAGCCGGGAGCACCCCCGCTGTGGGCATTTTGTGGACACAGCACAATCGAGATGAGTGGCATAATATCAGACTTTGCCGGCTACTAAAACATTGGGGAGTACCCCCAGAAAACCTGGTTCACAAAGAAATTAAAACCGGCTCTTAAAGGGCCCAAGTGCAAACTCACCAGTCTCAGAAAGGAACCTAAAATCACCAGAAAGAAAGGTGCACAGTGCTTTGGTGAAAAGAGACTCACTGTTAGGCGCTG